TGAAAAGACGGACCGCGAATGGTCAGGCCAACAATGGCAGCCCTCTTCGTCCATCGCGATCACAGAAAAACGGCACCAACTTGAGCCCTAAGAAAACCCGAGATGCGGGCAAGGTTGACGACAAAGGGAAGACTGCGGATTTGAAGACACTCTTCTCCAAGCAGGCGCAAAAGGTCACAAGGCCAGGGGTGGGAACCGACAGAAGGACAGAGCCGATTGATGATCTGATCCACGATCCCATATCCGACGACGACGAGATATCAGAGTTCAAAGCTAGCTCTTCCAGCTTAGTTGGGCAGCATGTGAGGAAACGACTCAAAGGTTCGAGTGCCGGCACTCAATCTACTCCCACTGGCGCGTTGACTATGAGCCAACGGTTCCTCAAGCCAAGTCGACCGACAACCACTGACGCATTAAATGATGACTTACGCCCGTGGTCGGAAAGATTTGGCCCGCGGAACTTGGACGAGCTAGCGGTACATAAGAAAAAGGTTGCAGACGTTAGGAGATGGCTTGAGGATGTCATGGGAGGTCGGATGAGGCAGCGGGTGCTGATATTGAAAGGCGCTGCTGGCACTGGGAAGACCACAACGGTCCGCCTCTTGGCAAGCGACATGGGATCTGAGATTCTAGAGTGGAAGAATCCTGCGGGAAATGCAGTGACTGGCTACGTCTCGTCGTCGGCGCAGTTTGAGGATTTCCTCGGGCGAGGAGGCAAGTTTGGCGCTCTGGACTTGGAAGAAGCGGAGCCGTCATCCACGCCGGTGAGCTCAAACGGCACCGCGCAAAACAGTAGCAGCAAAAAGATTATTCTCATCGAGGAGTTCCCAAACACTTTTTCTCGAACTTCAACTGCGCTGTCTTCTTTTCGGCGCACCATCCTCCAGTATCTAGCGTCGCAAACGCCATCTCTACATACCTTTGGGCAGCAGAAGCGAGCGGAACCTATCACGCCCGTTGTTATTGTGATATCAGAGACATTGCTGACTACGACGTCGGCTTCAGCAGATAGCTTGACTGCTCATCGACTGCTTGGACCAGAAATCCTCCGACATCCAGGAGTAGGCTTGATCGAATTTAATGCGATAGCCCCTTCACTATTATCCAAAGCTCTGGAGGTGATTGTACAAAAAGAATCACGAAAGTCAGGGCGGAGACGAACACCAGGGCCACTGGTACTAAAACGACTCGGAGAGATTGGTGACATTCGCAGTGCCATATCATCGCTCGAGTTTCTATGTTTAAAGGGAGACCAAGATGCCGATTGGGGATCCAAGGTAACATTCACAAAGCAGAAGAAGGGAGCAAAAGATGGCATCGCCCTTACTCGCGGCGAAGAGGAGAGCCTCGAACAGATATCTCAGCGCGAAGCCAGCCTGGGAATTTTCCACGCCGTCGGCAAAGTGGTCTATAATAAGCGAGACGATATGCCGTCAAATGACCCGGCAGAAAAGCTGCCGAGTTACCTATCGCAGTATTCGCGCCCAAAGGCATCATTAGTATCTGTTGATTCATTAATCGACGAGACTGGCACCGATACGCATACGTTCATTTCGGCCCTGCACGAGAACTATGTGCTATCTTGTGAAGGTACGGACCCGATGGATCTCTCGACCCCAATAGACTACGTAAATGAGTGTATCGAGTATCTTTCTCTGGGCGACCTGCTTAGCCCTTCGGGAGATGTCTTCTTTGGTGGACGTGGCGGGTTTGGCGGAAACTTTGGGGATTCTGCGAGCCATGTTCTTCGCCAAGATGAGATAACGTTTCAAGTCGCGGTGCGTGGCATGCTTTTCTCCCTGCCTAACCCTGTGAAGAGAAAGACGTGGACCATGCAAAAGGGTAGCGATGCATTCAAGATGTTCTATCCAACAAGTCTTAAGCTTTGGCGAACGAAGGAAGAGATTGGTGGGCTGATTGACGTTTGGTCTGGGAAAATCCTTCGAAGCGAAGTTGAGCTGCCAAGCAGGAACATCATGGATGGCGCTACCATCTTTCGACGGAATCAGCTCTCTGCCAACTCTAACCAGGGACAGAAGCAAGCAGACAAAGCTCTTGCATCCAAAGCTAGGACACAAAGAGAAGATGACGACGAAACAAGCGATGATTCCCCGGTTATGACCCTCGGCAGCACATCTCGCCGCGAACTACTTCTCGAACGGCTGCCCTACATGGCACACATTGCTCGCTGCCGCAAGACTGGCATACGGCAGCGAGACCTCGACAAGATTGTTTCCTTCTCCGGCGTGAACGTCTCGCCAGACGACGAGTCGGACGCTGATGAAGAAGGGGTCGCAACGGGAGAGATGTGGGCGACTGATAAGCCATCTGAGGACGGCACCCCGAGGAAGAAGAGGATGGGCATCAAGGCCGGAACAGGCGTTGCGGGGATGCTGAAGCAGAAGCTGGTTCTAAGCGATGACGATATTGAAGACTGAATGAGAGACAAGAAGTGACAAAAAGAAAATGTAAGAGGGGCGCTTGACTGGGATTCGAATGTATGATGGGATGAACGTGGAACGGATTTTGAACCTTTGATCTGCTTTTCTTTTTTTTTTCTTATTTCCGACAGCCCGGAGTTCTCTGTGTACTTATATTATAAAGCGATGAGCATCTAGAAAGATGTAGGATTGATGACTGTTTTCGAGTAGAAATGGGGGTCGCGCATCATCAGGGCAACCTGTGTCTTGTGCCTCCTTTTTGACAACAGTATCAAACAAGAAACTTCTCAAAAGAATATCTACAAGACGAAGCGAAAATTGACGGCACATGTATGAAAAACGTTTCGTGTCTTTTTGTTGATCCAGTAGTATAGTCTAAACGCCTGCAAAGAAAGAAATGAAAACATAAACCAGCAAGCAACAAGTGTTGGGAATCCCGTAGCCTATTCTAGCCGCGTAACGCGCGCAAGACGCGCAATGAATCTTCGCAAAGGCATCTTCTGTCTCATCGCAGCCATAGCCGCAGCCGTAGCCGCAGCCATAAAATCCTCCTCCGACTCTCTGACGTTATTCCCCCCTGTCTCTAGACTATCATCTTGGCTTACCTATGCGGCAAGATTTTCAGCAACAAAGGACTAGGAAGAGAAGACATTAGCTACTGGCTTCGTAAACGGATTCAGAAAGAAGTGTATGAGACTGTAGACGGGTTAGTGGGATGGTTGCTTACAGGGAACTCCTTCTGTAATGAATTAATGACGCTTTCAACCTCCTCGGCCAGACTCTCCACGTTGGCGTCCCATCTGCGCATCTCTTTGCCTGCTAGAGCCTCGGCACGGCCGCTGCCCTTCTGGCCTGACGCCTCTCCGCCTTCGAACCAGACGATTCCGTCCAGCTGGTCCATTCGTCCCACAAGTCGTCCCTGTTCAATCATCCGTGCGGTTGTCTCCTCGGCCTTGTCGGCATCCAGACCCAGCAGCGAGCCCAAGGCTTCAAACTGGATGTTGCTGTACAGTCTTGACACGCCAAGCAAGTTATGCTCCATGACCGCCTTGGCGAGGACGGTCGATCCGTCGGCTGTGGTGGCCAGCTGATGCGGCTGCAGGCCCTCGGCGAATTTATCCACCTCGGCCGGCGAGAGTAGCCGGTCCAGGAATATCTTTTCCAGGATGCCAAACTCTTCCAACTGCGCTGATCTCTCATCTTTGTATAGTCTTCCTAGGATCCGGCTTCTCATGGGGCCGGCAGGCGCCAGGATAGCACACTTGACAGCCATGCTCAGCGTGTGAAGGCGCTCCTCTTCGGCCACGGCGGGGAAGAAGCTGATCTCATGGTACCGCTGGGCGGCAAACAAAAAGTCTCGCTTCGCATCCTGGATACGAGCCTGCGAGAGGCGGAAGTGTAGGTTGAGGTCCGGGTCTGAAACGGTGTGCATGATGTTTTTGAGCTTGTTGATGTACGTTTCGGCGGCGGTGTCATCGCCGACTTCTAGGTAGTTGCGCACGATGCGAACCCACACGCGGGCCTTGTCGGCATCCGACACTTTGCGCTGCGAACTATCGAGGGGGATCTCGGCCAGGGCCTTTGCGGCATCGAGGAAGTCTTCGTTGTTCTCGTGGGCCGTGGCCACGAGCTCGTATATTGTCGCTGCGGCATCAAAGAAGGACGACGGCTGGGCTGCCAGGATGCCCAGCGTTCGGTTCCCGACCTCGATCCACAGGCTCTCTTTGTTAATCTTCTTGAGTGCTGCGATGAAGTCATTTAGGAAGGATCGTGTCGCTACGAGACCGAGGCTCTGGTTGAAGAAGGAGTCGAAGACTGCGTTGAGATCGGCTGCGGTGGGAGTGGGTGAGGAATAGGTCGGGAGGTTGTTGAGGAGAGTTTCGTAGAGGGGGCCTTTGTCGCCGGGAGCTGATCCTATGGCGGCGAGGGCCGCCGTTACTTTTGGATTGGGATCCATTGTGTAGAGATTAGCTCTATGCGAATAGCTGAGGAACGCTGTTTGTTGGAAGAAGAGAGTCGAGAGCGAGAATGTGATAAGATGGTTTGATGTTGATAGCGGAAGCTATTTGGCGGGGCAGCGCCAAGCTACAGCGGGGTAGCTCCCGGAAGACCGCTAAAATTAGGCTGCTGGGGTGCATGTAGTCAGCACCTGTCATTCTGTGACCATCTCAACGACTGATATTAGAGACTTGAAAATATGGATATGCGTCTACATGCACTCTTTCATATGTATGCAGCTTTGGCAATATCAGGGCAATGCTTGCTATTTTTCTTATTCGTTTTCGTGCAGAACCTTTGTTCGCCGCTATACATCTTCCAGTTAAAGCCCAGACAGCAAAAAACACCCTCCAGTAAACTACACCTGTAGCCAGTGACGTGGCCAAAGTAAATGAAGCAACGCAAAACGCCGAATATGTGCAAATATCCATCCAAAAGCACATTCTAAAAAAAAGAAGAAGCAAAAAACGTCCATCTATTAGACATCTTAGATCGTCCCAACCAAAATCTTTCCAAACCAAGCGTATATATAGCAAGGCCTTTGGCTTCCATCCTTGGCTTCTATTTGTTATGCCAGAGTAAAGTCCTCAGCGAGTCCCACTCGTCGCAGTCCTTGTAAATGTACGTCATGCTGCTCCTCAAGCTCGACTGCAGATCCTCGGGATGGTGCTTGAATATCAGCATCACCAGACCCCACGACACCGAGGCGAACACGGGCCATGCGTAGTGGCTGATTTGCGCGTGCAGCGGCTCGGACGAGATGATGGGCAGGCCGTGGCCCGGCTTGACGGCGAGGCGCGCCAGGGCGAGGGCAACGCGCGCGAAGATGTAGATGACAATCTGCTGGCTGACGGAGGAGATTTTGCCGTAGCGCTTGGAGCGCTGGCCGAAGACGATGTAGCCGCCGAGAAGGCCGGCGAAGAAGGAGTCGAGGGGGCCTGTTGGGGATGGCAGGTTAGTGAGTATTATATCCCATGCTGCTGAACCGCTGAAGCCTCAGAATAGTAGACAAGAGAAACACATACCCTCCTTGCCCGGCGTAGACCCGTATCGCTTCAGCGCCAGCATTGTAATCTTGTATATGGACGCAAACTTGGCCAAGTTCGTGGCATGCTTCTTCGTCGCTCTAAACACCAACGAAGCCTTTTCTTTGAATCTACCGCCCAAAGTTCCATGTTAATACAAGCTTCTTTTTCAATATGCGCATACACGTGTCCAAGTGGCTATCGATCGATATCGTCGGCGGCAAAGGGTAATATACGTACGTTCCGGATCGGAAGAGAAAGATCATCCTATCGAACACACGTCAGCACAGCACCAAAACAAGAACCTCGTCCGGTCCAATTATCCAAACTTTGTTCTCGAAACTCACACCAGCGCATGCGGAAACCGCACTTTGGATCCGTAGACTGCGCCATTGCGCGCCGTCTTGAGCAGCGACAGGACGTCATGATATGTCGGGTCGAGCGCGATGCTCTCTGCAAAGGCCTGTCGAGGGATAGACGAGTTAGTATTTGACTTTTAATCTTGGAGGCTGTTCCCAATCTATTTCGCTTCCATCTCTGCGACAGAATGGGAGGAAAGCCCCATCGCCAAAAGGCTTCGCATACCTTCAACTCCTCCAAGAAGCCCGAGGCCGCCATGGTGCCTCGGCTATTGACGCTTTTGTCAGGGTAGCGTGTCTTGCGCAGGGTGCGGTTCCGAACGGGCGAGGATCTGTGCGACGTGCGCAAGAGAGAAAATCGAAGAGAATACGCGACTGGAATATGGTTCGAAGGAGAGTAAAAGAAGGAGAAAAAAAGAAAAGAAAAAGGTGCCGTATAAAGTTGCGGTTAGCAGAATCAAGCTCGGGCTGCTGAATGACTTTGAGCCTCGGCCGGCTGTTGCGCCGCTGGGATGGGGGAAAAAATGGGGACCTGGCTTTTACCGTATGAAGGCTTGAGGGCCGGAAAATAGATCCAATGGATACGTCACTCCGTTTTCGTTAGAAGTCCCGCTGCCGCAGTGGAGCTGAGAGACCCCTAGAGTCGACTGCGTGTGACCGCTGGAACGCAGCGCAAATCCCCGCCTGTGGTTTTAGCACAGCGGTCTACTGTAGACGCAGGAGATCTGATGGTAGATCTGGCACATGTGCGGAGAAGATGGGAAGCTGACGGCCACCATCTCGACGTTGGTGAGTGCTGCTCGTTTTTGGCATGTGATACTGCATGTAATGTCCACATGCTGGAACTCTATCAACGCATTTGCTCTAATAAACCTTGGCCAAACTACATGTATACTCTGAGATTGTAAATAAAGGGGAATACCGTGCATCAGAATACAAAATCTAATATCCAGCTTGTTACTCCCTCCTCTAACAGCCAACGCCATAACATATCTACCCAATATCAAGTACATCTATGCCTCTAATATCCAACATTCAGCACCACCTCTCCCACGGCTCCCGCCAGGTCACCCTCAAAATCTCAAATATCCTCCTCTCATCCCTCCTCTCCACCAGCTCCCCCTCCGTAACCTTCACTCTATCCGGCCCCCTCAGCACATCTCGATACAATCCACGCTGGTTCAGCCTCATGCCCTTCTTGGAAGCCAGCAGCCGCATGCTGCGATTGAAGATGTCGTTCCCGGTGAAGTAGATGAGCGCAGCGCCTAATTCAACCTCTGGCACCAGTAGAAAGTCGATCCTTCTCCATATCGGGCGGTACTTTTCGTCGTCGTTGAGGCCCTTGATCTTGGGCAGCACGCAGCATCCGTGCCATTTGCTGCCATCGCTTCCAACTCGGGATGATGCCAGTCGTGCCACAAGAAACTCGTCTCTCTCCAGCTGAGCCACCAAGCTATTCAGAAAAGACTTGAGATCTGCTACAGATTCCGTGCCAGGCTTCGTCACGATAAAATCAATATCATGAGAAGTCTCAGCACCCCTCCGGTAACTGCCCCCAATAATGAGCTGCACCATCGGATCAATCTTCGCCGCAGCCCTCTTCACGACCTCACCAAGGGCAGTGACTTCCTTTCGAGGGATTCTAGTGTTCAAGTCGTCGTAGTGCTCGACGCCCACCATCTGGCTGGGCGTCAGTTTGACATGCTGCTTTATGTCGTCGAGCGTCCGCCAGCCTTGCGCAATCCATTGCTGTGCTATTTTGTTCCCCACGCCGTAAATCTTCAAAAATGTTTGCAGCGCCGAGTCTGTCGGTTCTTCTTCTGCGTATTCAAGCCTCTTCAGCTTATCCGTCGTCACAATCTCTTCAATCTTTTGCGCTAGCCGACGGCCGATACTGGGTAGTCGATATGCCTCTTCTTCAGTAGTGATCTTGACGGTCTGCTGCTTCAGGGTGCTAATGGCCTTCCGATAAGCCAGTGTTCGCCAATGATCGTTGACTCTCTCGTAGTAGCTGTTCATCTTTTGCAACACGTCGATAGTGCGTGCATTTGGGTTGTCGTCTGCAGCCTCTTGTCTCCCGGCTCTATTGCAAGCAAAGCGATCCTCAAAAGTAATTGCCTTGTTGGTCGGTCGTACCCTTCTAGACGATCTTCTCTTTGAAGGTCGCTCATTCTCTGAACCAGATCCTTCGTCGAGATTCGCCTGGTGTTCCGATTCAGTGACCGTGGATTGAGCATCATCATCTTCGTCAACATCCAGGGGCAAGTCTTTAAACTCTTGCATGATTGAGATGTATTCTGATAATTCATCGTCCTTCTTCGGTGGCGCTTTAGATCTAGCCTTGGCTTTTGGTAAACTCTTCATGAGCTCGTCGGCGTTATCCAAATCCAGTACAAGAGGCTGAGAATTTGTCGCTGATCTAGTTGCACGCTTCGTCAAAGGACTTCCCACTGAAGATTCCTCTCCTTGCGAGGGCGTCCCTCCGGGTGGTACATAATCCCACTTCCCCTTGTTATGATGCTGCGGCTTCAATGGCAATGAATCGGCCTTTGGTTTTGTCCCAGGGCCGGAATTTGTAGTACCAGCAGCAGAAAGAAGAACCTCTTTGTCTTTTGTTCCCGTCGCAACCTGGCCGTCTACCAGATACTTCTTTTGATTCGGATCCACAATAGCACGAAACTGAATGCAATCAAGAGGATAATCCTCATTGACGACCTTCGGCATCGCTCGATCCCTAAATCCGTCTTTCGGCCATAGCTTTTCAACATCCTTGTACACGAGCTTCTTCTCCACAATGATATGCGTGGCCGTCATCATGTCTCTCGTCCACTCCGCTCCAAACTCCTTCGCCCTATTGATCCGCAGCCGTCTGACAGGCGCAATGTCATTGTCCGGAATGTAAAAGAAAGACAAGTCCTCGAATATCTGCTCAACCCCAGGCCGCGTCTTTGACGTTGCAACACGCCCTCTCTTTTTACTGCCGCTGGCTGTCTTTGTCTTCTGCGTCCTTGTCGTCGCCCCGGCTCTGACATTAACAGACGGCGACGACGACACTTCCTCAGATGAAGTTTCCAACGATCTTTGTAACGACGCCGGCGGTGCCATAGGAGCATCGCCAGTAGCAACAACGATTGAGTCTCTGCCCTTGTGCCCGCGCAACTTCTCTGCGCCCACCGACGGCGTTTCTCGTACCACATCCTCCTCCCTGCTATCCAGCAGCGCATCAAGCCGCCCCTTTGGCCTCGGCTTCCCCGGTCCAGTCCCCATAATGACCTTTCCAGACGGAGGCTGAGGCGCCGCAATTAGTCTCCGGGGAGTGAGATTTTGCAGCTTGTTCAGCCGCTTCGCAGGCAAAAGCTGCTGTCCTGCATGTTGTTCTTGTTGTTTCTGTGGCTGCTTCTCTTGTTGGCCGTGTGCATCATCCAAGTTCTTCGTAGGCCGAAAGAAGTTCCTGTGAAGCTGCCTCTGCTTTTCTTCGCGCGCATCGAAAGCGTCGTCGTCTGGTTTCCCGGATATATGCCCACCGCTGGTGGTATGAGAAAATCTTTTAAGCTGGTCAAAGTATGCGGTTTTAGATTCCGCCGAGGCTGGTGCGTTTTCATCCATTTTTTTGAGAGCGAAATCATAAAGCGTGAGTATCAAGATGTTGCGCGTGTTCTGTGAGCATGGAGTCTTATACCAGAAGATCGTGAAGGGACGAGAAATGAATGCCTCCGTTCTTTACGCGCTGTTGATGTTATTTTACGATGCGGCAAGGGCATTTGGTAATCGTTGTTGGAGCATGAACCAGTTTCAATGTTTTAAGCCATCTTCATAAGCTGTGATGGAATGAATGAATGGGCGAACAAGTGCTTGTCTATCGCATCCATTGCCAGCTCAGATTCTTGAATGTGTTTCAGCGAGAGGTTTAGTGCGTATAAAAGTGAGATTCGTGAACGAGAGCAGTATTAGTGAGATGACCCAGGCAACAACGCGCTAAAGACAGCCACTAACAATACCTACCGAATACGGATATCAACTCTCGTTCACTCACATACTTTTAAATGGAACATCTTCATCTCAAGGACACAACAAATGCTTTTTTGTCAGCACGCGTTAAAACTTATATAAGAATTACTTCTTCCTTCTTTTTTCCTTCTTCTTTTCTATTACCAGGTTCTCTAAGCACCAGTCTTTCACAATGACTCAAATACACGAACCAAATTGTTAAACTCATAGCACTGCTAATGGCTATCATATATTGCAAGGCTACCTAGATATACACTAAATCGATCCAACACGCCCTCCAAGCAGTAAAATAGACATTAAGAAATTCTAGATGCTATGCCAAAAACACAACTCTCCCAAGAAGCTCCTCCCGAGAGCAGAATATTGTAATGCAAAGACATGTTCAAGCGTCCAAGCTATAGTGCCCGAAAATCCAAGGCGGTAGTGGTTGTATATATATAACATGTACAAAGGCTGTTGTTTTTGGTTGTTCCAAGTTGCCCGTGGGAAAAAAAAAAAAAAAAAAAAAGTACACAAACTCAAGTAGTAGGCCGCTCCAAATTCCCATACTGTCTCTCAAAACGCCAGCTGTTGTCTAATTATTTTCTTCTTCTCAAATCAAAAAGTCTCCCGGCCAGCTCTATTGGGCGTCAGCATAAAATGCTACATCAACATATAGATGCAAAGCGATTTTCCCCCAAGCAAATGAGAAGCAAACTCCATCGCTGAATGCCTGAATGACGTATTTCCCATATATTCCATCTCTTTATAACAATTGTGGTGTAAGCCGACCAAGTCGCCAAGTCATCTGCTAGATTTGCGACGCTTCTAGCTTCGAGCGGAAAAGAATCCTCCAAAGCCTGCCTTGGCCTGGCTTTTCTTCAGGAGATCCTCGAGTCGCCTAGTCTCTCGGACTGCAGCTTCGCGGTCCTCTTGGAGGTTGAGAACCTCTACTTGAGCCATGTTCATCCTAGACACGACTTCTTGCATTTCATCCTCGGCATCTACAAGAGCCTTTTCGAGCTCCAAGACTCGTACTCGGAGAGTCTTCATATCGGCCTCTTCTTCAAGACTCTTGGCGGGGGGCCGGCTGCTCAACAGCGGCTTGGGGCCAGATCTGTTGGAGGAACCATCGGCGGGATCAGTCTGGAGGCGACGCAGCTGCTCGTTATGCGCCTCACGTAGCCTGGTAATCTCCTCCTCGTGGCGGATGATGCGGTCCTCTGAAGAGGACTGGGCGGCAACGACCTGTTCCTCCATGACTCGAAGGCGCTCTTGAAGCTCCGAGATACGCTGAGAGTTGGTCTTACGGTCCGATTCTCCTCTGGCAACGGCAGCTTCGAGACGCTCTCGGAGTTCAGCGTTAGTGTCCAGCTGCTGGCGAACTTGGGCTGTGAGCTGCTCAATGAGATCGGCAGACTCTTTGAGCTGTTGTGCCAAGGTGGCGTCGGCTGCCATCGACTGAGACTCGCTAGCGACGAGCAGGTCGATCTGGGCCTTTTGTTGGCCAATTTCCCTTCTGGCGGCATCGCGCTCCAAAACTGCCGCAGACAAGGATTGCTCCAGGCGCTGCATAGCCTCCCGTGTCTCCTCATCTGCAGTGTCTGCTTCCAGTTGACGGATACGCTCCAGGGATTCAGTGTACGCAGCTTGTAACTCTGCGTAGGCATTTCGAAGAGACTCGGACGTAACCGGCTCTCGCAGGGTATCGCTTGAGCCGCTCAGGCGGGCGGGAGCAGGCGGGATCAGGATGTCGTTTGCCTCCAGCACGCTGCGCAGAGACGCAATCTCTTCAACGGCTCGATCGAGATCGATTTTGAGACCGCCAAGACCCTTTTCAACCTGCCATTTCTGCTCGAGGGCGTCTTCGGCGCGTCGGCGTAGGAGATTGATCTCTGTCCGCAGCTTTCCCATGTCTTTTTCAAAACCGGCCTTTCTTGGCGAGACGGTGGTGAGCCGCTGACGCTCGGCCTCGAGAACGCGAATCTTCTTTTGATATTCCCGGTTCTGGAATTCTTGGCGCTCCAAGAGGCTCTTGAGGGCGCTATGAAGAGCATCGCGTTGGGCTTCTACATCTTTCAGTCGTTCAATCAGAACCTCTCGAGGCTCTGTGGTGGCTGTGTTCTTGACGCTATCAGACCTTTTCAGACCACCACCAAGACCGGAAGGCCCACGCCGCATCGATCCGGTTGCTACTGAGTTGGACCGCGAGAGACCCATTGAATTCGACCTGGACAAGCCGCCCAGGCCAGACATGCCCATGACCGACATTCGCTTGGTGGGCAGATCTTCAATGCCACTGGCCATAGAATTGCGAAGTGAGCTGTTCTCGCGCTTCAAGGTGGAGAGCTCTTGCTGCATCCTGGAAGACTCGTAAGTCAGACTGGCATACTCGGCAGCCTCCGACTCAAGACCTTCCACTCGCGCCTTGAGCTCTGGGATGACCTCATCGCGGAGGTTATCTCGCTCGTCGCAGGCGTCTCGAAGCTGCCCCTTGAGAGCAGATAGCAGGTCTTCAAAGTTAGTCTTGGACTGGCGCTCCTCTGATAGCTTTCGCTTTAGATCTTCACAAGTATTTTCGAGTTCCTGGATCCGCTCGCTGGCGTCGATGTTGTTGATCTCAACAACGTCCACTTCAGATGCCCTCTCTTGCAGCTGCCTGATCTTCTGGTCAAGCTCTTTTCGCTTCTCCCTTTCCTCCTGTATTTTGGCCGTCAACTCCAGGCGAAGAGACGCTTTTTCCTGCTCGGCCTTCCTCTGCACCTTTTCAATTTCATCTCTGCTCTGGTCAGCAGGCTCGTTGAGCTTCACTGTGCTTTGACCGGAATCGGAAAAGTAATCGCTTGTCCGTTTACTGCCAGTTGCTTGGGGGTTGTTTGCAATTTGCTCTTGAAGCCTGTCGGCCAGGTCTTCCAGGTCAATCTCGCGGCGGATAGATGCGGCCAGCTCTGAGCTGATGGCTTTCAACTCGTCCTCCATCTCGTCAATCAGCGTGGTATTTTGGGAGAGATGCGGCGAGTGCGTCGAAAAAAATGACTCGCGTTGTTGGGCGAGAGTTGATGCCGCATTGGTTTTGTTATAATTGGACGCTAAGCTGTTTGTCGATCGTCTATTCTGGGGATTTGGTGAGAATGGAGACGGTGAGGGGAGGGACGTCAGATCTGTGGCTGAGGGCGAGGGATTGCCCCAGCCAAAAATAGAAGCCAGTGGAGAGGTTGCGCCCGGTGACCTTGGCAAAGGTTTGTTCCGGTTTGGCGATCCGTCTATTGTTGCTGACTGCGGCGAGTCGTCTATGTATGAATCCAGCTCTTCCTCTATGATTGAGGGGTCGACTCTCTCTAGCCGTAGATGCGGAGGAGTGTGCTTCGTTGGCGCTAACATGGGCGATGAGGGGGGGGGAGTAGAGTTATTATCGTCGTCGTAGATGGACTCGGCGTCAGACGCGCTGTCAATGACTTGGCTGTCAGTGACTGGCTCGTGAGCTTTGACAGACACGTTGTCGGGAGTGGCGCCGGGTGCTAGATCTGAGAGCAAATCGTCGTACTCTGACAGGGCATCAGAGAACTCAGTGTCAGCTGTTTCAGCGGGAGAAGGCCCACCACCGTGCGTGGAATTGTTTCCCGAGGCAGGAGGTGTTTCGTCGTCCGTTGGCGCTGGCGCTGTTCTCGATTCGGACAGACTGGAAGGGTTCCGGGTTAGTTTTCTTTGTTCTCCTGTCTTTTGGCCACTTTTACGCTTTGTCGTGAACAGTTGCTTTTATAGCAAAGAACAAGAAACAAGACAAAGGATATACTACTCACTGTGAGGCTCGCACTGAAGACTTGGCAGAAGGAAGGTACGGGTAGAAGGTGGGACTGTCGACAGAGGGTGACCGCGCGAATCTGTGATCCGGTTTGGGTAGGTCGATGGTGGTTTGGACGGGAGGGCCGTGGGCGAGATACTGCGTGACCAGAGAGGACGGAGCGGCGGCGCTGGATACGGGCTTCCGCTTGATGGGACCGGAGAAGCGAAAGGGGAGAGACGAGACGGCCACGGGAGAGATGAGGGTGGGAGCAGAAGAGTCGACGTAGTCCAGCGTCTGGGAACGACTGTGACTGGCAGCGATGCTAGTGCGTATGGGATTGGGAGCAGGAGCGGCAATGGTTGCTGACCCCGGATGGTGTTGGTGCTGGAGCTGGACGTCTTCTGGGTGGTGCGCTTGGTGGTGTTCTTGGTACTGTTCCTGTTGGTGCTCCTGTTGGTAGTCCTGGTAGTGGTTCTGGTAGTGGTCCTGGTAGTGGTCCTGGTCGTCTTCTTGTTCCTGGCTGTAGTATTGCTGGTAGGCGTCGTCGTCTGATGCTGGCTCTTGTCTCTCGTGGTGGATGGTGCTATGCCTCAACGGCGATGCAGGTGGAGAGACTTCAGATGAAGCAGACCGCGTATCAGAGTCTGGCGGGATCGACGCCATGGCATGGGGCCCGCTGGGAGGTTGCGATGCGACGTCCATGATATTGAGCGTCGTGGGGGTACGAGACTGTTTGCAGCAGCAGCACTACTAGCCGAAGACGAAGATACGAAGACAGAAGAATGCGCCGCAAGCGAGGCAGCTAAGAGGTACTACAGCTGGTACCGCAGTCGGCACGGCAGCAGCAGTACTTGGATCCAGAGGTATTACAGGTACGGTGGTCGAAGCAATGCTCGAGAGAGGTGCTTAACGCCGGTGGCAGGTTTAAAATTGCCCATGAATCGGATGGTCGAAAAAGGACATTTGGCGAGCGAGCCGGAAGGAGGCAGACGGAGGGCTAACTCGAGTCGTGGTAGGGCCCCCGGAGCAGAAGGGGACTTTTGGTCTTAGGCCGGTCTTGGACTCTTGGAAGAGAGAAGAGAAGGGGAAAAAAAGGGAGAAGCGAGGCCTGCTCAGCGACGAGGCTGTGGGGCAGCAAGCAGGCGAGGCCGGGGTCGGGTGTGGAGGCTGCACTTTTTAGCCAAGATGAAGAGGTAGCGCCATCAGCGTATGATGACGCCGGGAACCGTCTTGTTCCGATTATCTGCAATACAACTTGGCTCTGATCGTTAAATGATGGCGCCAACTATGGGGGAGGCTAAGTTGTGGTGGTAGCGCGGGCAACGGTGATGGCAGCAGCAGGAGAAGTGATTGGCTGGCGGCTTCTACACCCATAGTCAGGGTCGCCAGCTGACCGAGGTCTACATGCAGGTATGCGCCCATCACCGTCAATTACAGTCTGGCTGGTACAATTATGACGGAGAGATGCACGTCATTTCGGCTAAAGAGAGATCAAGAACAAAATCAATATTCACAGCCAAAAATAAACTCCAATTGGCCGAGCGTTTAGCAGCGCGAGCAGATAAAGGAGGTCGAACTGGCAGCAAGAAACAAGAAAATAAGCCACCGGCGGCTGCGAGTGGCGCACAATTCAATGGCAAGCGCCTCCTAGTCAGGGGTTTGGGTCGCCCAAAAAATTGATTGGTTTGGGGTTTGATCGGGCAATGGCTTTTATTGCCCTGGTACCTGCGCTAGCGCCCTCCAGCCAAAGGAGAAAAGGGCCGCTAGTTGGGCCTCTAGAGCCCGTGACGCGAAACATGCAGTTGAGCGTGAAGCCTCACTGCCACTTGGAGGCGAGGCGGCTCAACTTCAGCCGCCCTTTGCGCGTGAGAGTGCACGTTATTGCTATTGCGTGCATACAGGAGCGATACTTTACTCATTTGAATGCTACTACAAATAGTACCAGCGCTGTATTGGAGAGGACTTGCTTGTATTGTACAAGTTAAAGTTGCTTCGCGCAAGTTGCCCCTGTTTTAGCGCCAGGCTCGGCATAAGCCACTAGTACAGCAACTATGCGCATGCAGGCAGTTTGGCATCAATCGCGATGCTGGGATGGCGCTGATCAGGACAAACTCCAGACTAGAGAGAGCTAGCACGAACGCTTTGATGATATCCATGGCTGATGCCGAGTTTTGGAGGGTTCGAAGCTTCCGGGCCTCCTTCTCAGGTAGGTAGGTAACAAATAATGTCACGCCTAGTGCAAGTGTTAGCAGTGCGACATGTCAACTCTCGCAGACGGCAGCAATTAGACAACGCCTGAGGATGGTGTCAAATATAAAGAGGCCTTATCTCGCCTGTAAATGTCCCCCTGCAACTCTGCTGTATGGGTGCTCGAACCAGATACGGTGGTGAAAACACTTGACCTGATCGATAGCGCTCTGTAAGATGCATCTATCCAATATACCGTCAGCCTTCACTTGGCGCGCGCAAAGACATCCAGCCTCTCCAATTGGCCCCGGAATGCACAATCGCGCCTCGTGCTCACCTCGGTGGCGGGCCGCAAACAATCGACTGGCTGCGACATGTCTTCCGCCGGCTTTGTTCTCTGCCAGTCTCCACTGAGATCCCTCCATGCTCTCCTAGCACTGAGTGGGTGCCTGCATGAGACCTACTGCTGCTGCAGGCAATCACAATTCAGGGCATCATCCACGCTCGAAGCGTCTCACAGCGCACTTGGTGGCCTCTGCGCGATCTCTCTCATCCCCCCGGTCCCTTGTTCCGGCTGGATGCAGCCAAGCGTTGCCTCGAGCTCATTACAAGCACCCGCGTCTAGCGAAGTATCCATTGGTTCTACTGCTGCCTCTCATCTGTATGCGATACGCTCCCCCTAAGGCCAAGGGAATTACGGACTCAGCCTGAGTGAGGGCTGTTCTCCAAGCCCATTGGATCCTGCAGAAAAAGGACCGGTTCGCGCTCTTCTTCAGCTCTGCTTTCTGCGTGCCTGGGCGCCTATCAATTGCCTCAACAGGAATTCCATCCATCCGTCCATCCAATTAAGCAAACTTGCAGTAGAGCCACCTCCCAACTTGCGTTGGCCACTACCAAGGTTAGAAATAGATCATCGTTATACGCAGCTGGGCAGCTGGCACATTTGGGTATGTGATTGTTGCGGTCAGTAGCTCAATGTTCCTCAATAGAGCAAACGAGATTGCATCCAGAAAGCCGAACAGCGAATCGGATGTATGTTTTAGCATCTTCTCAATAGTGACTATAGCGGCCAAATCGAGTCAGTGCAAAGGGTCCATTGAGATTAATGAGCGCTCAAATCCCCCAGATTCTTGCCCCCCGGCACGAGATATTAATCTCATCCACGCCAAAAGGGGCATTCAATTCGTCACATCACCAGCTCGAATAGGCAACAAGCAGCGTGGAGCACCTGCTGCTCCCTTCCTCTTTCAGCACCACCTGGAGATCATGACTAGCTCGCCTCTTCTTATGTTGTTACTGTAGAGATGAAGATGAGAGAAATGTTTCCCCACGTGGGCCATATATGCGTCTTTTCGCGTTAAGGTTGCGTATACTACGACCACGGAATGCGTGCGCAACTCTTTGGTGTTCAAATGTGACAAATAATACGGGCTGGTCCAACTTAGAGCAAAGACTGGTCGCTGACTGACGAGTTCCCTTAATGTGCAAGTGTCGAATCTCTCCTTCTTTGCCTAGCTCAGGTGCATGTGATGCTTTTCCATTATGGAAGGCTGTTGTTTTATGAGTGTAGCAATATTTATAGTAGGCATTGCTTGTGTCTGGCGATGTACTCAAAGACGTTAAGCCATTATGCCACTTTAAAGATTATCATCAGGCCAAGTAGCCGTATCATTACTTTGCAGCATGCGATGCTAGGTATTTTGCCTATTGGTGCCTAGATGTTGATATGAAGAGCTTCATTTCTCTCAAAAACCGAGCGGTGTCTCGTAAACGCTGTTGACAGGGCAATAAGCCCGCACGCCGACGGATTACTGGCAAAAGGTCTCATTAAACCGATGATATACTTCTTAAGCTAACCATAATAGTGCGCATATTCTTTCTATCTCAATGTCTCTCTCATATCATTCATGAACGCCTAGTATCGATATAGAGTATTGGATATCGTAACAAACTCCCAGTTTTTTTTCCACCAGCAACAGGTTTGCTAATTCAACAAGTGCAAGCAAAAGCTCCTTTTCAAAAGACTGCGCCAAATACCCTTCATTCAGTTCTAAAATGTCTTATAAATATAGCTTCCCCTTTGGCAGCAGTGCCCAGACACCGCCACAGGCGCATCTACGCTGCTGTCCCAGAACAAAAGTATACCCAGGGCGCGTTCCAAACACGTCTTCCATCACGGAAGCGCACCGGGTACACCTCCTCCACTGCTGAGCTCCAAGCTTAATCTCCGCTTTTCTGAACAAATCGATGTAAACGTCTTGAGGCAGCTGGGATTTGTCGTCCTGCACACCGAGAAGGTCGTAGTTTGCAAAGAAGAGCTTTGCAGGGTCGGTGAGGGCTTTGAAGGCCGGCAAGTCCTTGGTAAAGAGCTTCTTGATGACTGGTAGAAAGGGCGCCGGTGGTGATGCCGCCAGGAGCATACTCAGCTCGAGCTGGATTTGTGCAGCTTTGACAGCCATATCAATCTGTTTCCCCTGAGGCGCTCCCGTTTGATTCTTGACCAAGGTCGGGAGAAACGATTGGTACGCTTGGCGAACGTCCCCGCCGAGAATGTTGAGCAGTTTTTCAAACTCACCGGCTTTGATAAGGCAAGACGAAGTGATTTGCTGCATTTTCTGGTACGCTTGCTGAAGCTGAGGGTTCAGTGGCCTGGGGGCACCTGTTTGGTCCACGCCCATCTGTGGCTGTCTGCGGTAGAATTCATTGGCTTTTGTACTCAGCTGCTCTAGGTGAGCAATTCTGCGGCATATTGCCAAGAGAAAGCTTCTGCTAGATGACGAGAGTAAGAGATGCAATGATATGTCGTTTTGTTTATGGAGATATGGCGTCAGCTCTCCAATCCGCTTGGGCTCCAACCTCGCCATAAACTCGCTGTCATTCATCAGCGCGAATAAGCAGTCAACCAGCCATGAGAGTAGATCTAAAGACCACTTGGCGCAACCAGCTAAAGCCTCGACAACCTCTATATTGTATCTCGTCAGCAGGGCTGATTTCTACGTCATTCCACGCGGAATATTTTGACGTCAACTTACCAGGTTCGTCCAGAGGGCTCATCTTCTCTCGCGCCGTCGCTGGCATGTTGCTTGCGAGAGTGATGAGGACAACCACATTGCGTGCGTTGAGATAAACCATGGCAAATTTGCCCTGGAATGACCTGGCATGCATTTCCCCCTTGAAGCCCAAGCTATTCATAATACTCAAGATGCCTTGAAGCGGAAGGTTTCTCATTAGCGAGTCATGGTGGAGCTCTTCGGAGTAGTCGACCTGAATCTTCAGGACTTTAATCATCTCGTTGGTCCAGTCTTGAATAAATCGCCTCTTTGACGTATAGGGTGCGACAATGGCAAGCATATCATCGTAATTGGCCTGATACCATATGGCAGATGCGGTTGCCACCGCCAGACCCGCTACCGAAGACGCATAATGCGCATCTAGATGAGAGTCGCCAATATCCCCGAGCGGGTATTGCAGCTTGCACCATCTAATCTTTCCATCTTCTGACATTTGGATCATGGAACACTGGGTTGGAGAAAAGGCAACCTGTTGGCATGGGCCTTCTCCGCCAAACGCCCAGCCAACTTGGCGCAGATTCATCACTTTATTAGAGTCCTCGGTCGTATACATTTCTTCAAAAGTGTAGCGATCTCGGTATTCGACGGTACCGTCGGCCATGGTTAATATCAAGACTTTTCCAAATTGGGTCGACTGGAAACTAATGACCATCTTGTTGAGGATAATCGGCTCTAGCTTTCGCAGTCTAGTGGGAGCCGTCTGTTCTGTCGCGTCACTATTTCTTCGACTCCCCAGCTGCTCAAAAGCCTGATGAAGGTTCTGCCGCGGCTCAGACACTGCTTCCCAGCGGTCAATGACCGTTTGGGCTACTTGGTAAGATCCAGGTGTAGGTGAACGCGTCCTAATAGCTACAATCGTTGGAGGAACTATGCTCTTGCCCGTGTTGTCCATGATAGAAGGGAGAACGTGTAAGTGAGATAGCTCGGCCATAGAGATATCATTGTTGGCATCTCTCGGGCCTGTTTGCAACCATGTTGTAGCAGCGAGATGCTTTTCGACTAAAGAAGGGCTTAATCGAGCGTTCTGCGGCAGAGGATTCTTATCCGGTTGCGATCCAGGGCCGCCCCATTGGATTTCTATCTTGAGCAGTCTCAGCTGCTTTGATGAAGTAGCAACGGCGACAAGCAGATGTCCTACCTAGTTAGTAATGACTAGCCATCGATTCAGCGGTTTTGAAGACTTACTCCTGTCAGAAGCAAGGGCCGCATGTGTAACCAACTCATCCAGCGAATTCACGCTCTCAAGCTCCATCGTAGTCTCCTCCATCCGATTATTATTCTGAGACCAGAACATTCTCAGCATTCCGCTTATTGTGACACAGAATAAAGCGCTTTTTGATGAATGCGGGTGGCTTGGTCCGCTAGCATGGACAAAGGAACTCTCGTACTGATACACATGCCCCTTTTTAACTGCAGGCCCGTACATGATATTGTATGGTTTCTTCTCGAAAATCAGTACTTGATCTCCCTGCTTTTCAATGTTTGGTGTGCTCACCTGCTGATTTGATGGGGCGACAGCAAGCCAGTGTGCTCCCACAACGGCGTTGGCATCGTCGATGAGATCAGTGTCGTATTTCCTCGTGACAAAAGGGTGGTTGAGTGATATGGAAAAGCTGAGGATGATAACCCTCCCTACCGCGTCAATGATGGCAAGCTCCGGGATATTGGTCGACCCCCACTCCAAGTGAACCAGGGGGATGCCTGGAGTTCCTCTGAGGAGCTCGCATGTCGTCGGCTGGCTGAGATCCCAGGTCCCGTCGAGCGGGTTACATCGCAGGAAACGGTGCTGCAGGTACTGGCCGTCCGCTGATATGGTTGCAATTGTCCCAGACTTGGACCATGCCAGCGTCCTAAAGCTCTCGTCAGCCATAGCCACAGTTATCTGGGAGGGGATGCTCGAGTACGCACTGGCAGCAGCCACGGTTCCTCAGGTCATCAACCTTGAGTGAGAGCGGCTTATTATGAGACCTATCGGGAAGTGACAGCCCAACGCCAACACCATCTCCAAACAAGTCATCCACGTCATTTAGATCGACGGGCACGGTATTATCCAGCATGAGGGGCATCTTTTCCGCAGTCATTTGAGCAGTATCTGCAGGCGCAAAATGAACGCCAGATGCCCGATGCAACTCAACTCGCGGCGATCAAAAGCATGTAAAGTCTTCCAGAGTCGCGTCAAAAGGCCCAAACAGTGAATCACGGCCGCAAGGAAAGTATATTTTTGGAATATGGCATGGACAATGTTTTAGCAGACAAACGCAACAAACAGTGGATGAGCATGCTCTGAAGCATGACGCTCATATGAAGGGTTTAAGTTCAACGAAGCTTGAGAGGCGTAGTGGACTGCTTACTGTAACCAGCCGCTGGGCGCCGGATGAATATCGGTAGAGCCCATGCTACCCGTTTCCCACCTACCCTGGAATTAGATGCTTTAAGCCAAATTTGATGAGCAGCTGGAAAAGTCTGCAGAGTAATAAACAAAAAAGAAATAAAAAATCATTTTTTTACATATGCTTCAATGTATCCGTTCAATTCTTTTGCCCCATTCAAGAAACAAAGTAGATCAAGTGTGCCTGCTGAGCGCTACTGGTGAGATTTGACGAGATGTTCTACTCTGTTTGGAGTGATAAAATTGACGTATTGTCTATGAACCCAAATAAACATCTTAAAAGCTGAAAGAGGCACGTACCTGCATATTATAATACTCTCTGTTGTAACCTCTGCTTTTCTCATTTACCACAGTGCGGGTGTTTTCTTCATCCATATAACTTTGAACTCCCACCCCCTGTATCTCAGACTTACAGATACGAACGCAACTATGAAGCCTTTACTTAGTAGCATAAGGTTTCTGAGTCAACTGCAGAATAAGTTTCTAGGTATTTGGGCCTTGTCATCTTTATCACAATGTCAAAGACAGTAAAAAGGGCCTGCAGTCTTTCTGTTAATTGGATTGTTATTTTGGGGCGTTGCAATAACGTCAATACCTGCGCTCATACTGATATTCAACGCCACTGTCGATCCACCACCGCGATAGAGTGGAATTACCCGAGTGCCCTTGCTGCAATCCAAATATGCTAATGAAAAGACCATGTTAAAAGTAAGGCATATGTAGTCCAGTATCTGTGTCAATAGAAGCAATGTATCGCTGATGCCGGCAGGCTGTTGGTGAAATCCGACATACACTGGGACCAGAACTGTGAGCACCGATATAGATGACATGAAAGCCCACAGCTATTCCGAGTGGTCATCGACCAACACAGACACAAAACCAGTTGCCATTGTGAGACCCAAGTCCACAGAGCAATGATCGATAATTGCAAAAATATGCACCAAATATAAACTGCCAATGACGCCGTACGGGGCCGGTTCCAGCCTCGAAGGAAACTTCGGTTCTTCTTGTTCAGGCGTATGCATCGACCTATCCGAAATGAACAAGATTGTTGACTTTCACCCCGATTATATGGACGTTGTAGTATAGGCGGGAGTCAACTGGATGGAGCTCAACGCAGAAATAAAAGACAGCGGCCTCTTCTTGCCTCCTGACCCGGGCCCAATGGCTTATATCGGCGGCATAATTGCCACTAACTGCAGTGGAACCAATGCCGTGAGATACGGCGCAATGAAAGACCCTGTCGTCAATCTGACTGTTGTTCTGGCGGACGGCACAGTCATCAAAACGCGGCAAAGGCCAAGAAAGACATCGGCTGGATACAATCTCAACTCTGTATTCACTGGATCGGAAGGCACTCTTGGTATTATTACTGAAGCTACCCTCAAGTTGGCGATACTGCCGACGAATTTGAGCGTAGTAGCAGTGGCCTTCGGTAGCGGCAGCATTTTCATTGGTTCGTGCAGGATTCCCTATGGCCGTCTTGGAACTGATGGACGAAGTGCAAATGGAAAGAATAAATAGGAGTGGAGGAACCGAGGGTAGGATGTGGGAGGAAAACCCAACTCTATTCATAAAGTATGTATAAAAGAAAAACGTCCCGTTGAAGATGACTCAAGTTACAACGTGGCTCAGGGAAAACACATACAGAGAAGATGAGCGAGCCTACGTGTGATTTATACGCCAACATAAAGTGCTAGGTTCTCAGGTACTCAGAATGCAGTCGAGGAGAGCATTTAAGAGGCCCGAGCCATATGTCGGCGTCATAACGCCAGCACATTCAAAGGCGTGACTACCAAGAAAGAGATGGATTCTCCATGGTTAGCTAGAAAAGAAGGCATGTTAAAAGCAAATGCACCGAGACCAGAAGGCACCGTCTTGTGGGCCACAGATGTTGCTGTGCCTATATCGCGCATGGCTGATCTCATCGGTGAGCTTTAGCAATAGCCACTCACGAGTCGTCACTAATTATCATAAACAGAGGAGTCCAAAGCAAGGCAACTGACCATGGTCTCATAAATTCTACTATAGGGCATGTGGGAGACGGCAACTTTCATCAAGCAATGTTCTATCATCCCGATAGCGAAACGGAGAAAAATAACGGATTGCGTTCATACAATGATAGACAGGGCAGTTGAGATGGAGGGAACTGTGGCAGTGAGTTAACTTCGTCATTCCTTCATGAATTCATCCTACTGACAGTACATCACAGGGCGAGCACGGGATTGGCATTGGAAAAAAGGTAAGGCAATGGATTCATCGGACTTGTTTCAGTGACAGGCCGACTTGTGGCTGGCATGGCCTTATCATAGAGCTGGGCTTGCCGACGATTGGCGTCATGAAGGCCTTGAAGGATGCGCTTGATCCGCAGTGAGTTCAACCAAATACATCTAATGTTGGCTCTATATGACTGACGACTACCAATCAGTTGGCTACTAAATCCAGGAAAAGTGTTTGACGAATGACACAACGTTGGAAGCAAGCACTTAGTGTAGCCACATTGTAGATGAGGATTGTGTACTCTTGTAAAGGCTATTCAAACCTGTGCCACCTATGCATGACAGAGTGGGAATCATGACTCGGGGTGACTTGGTATCTACGTTTAGGAAGTCGATTCCTCTATCATACACACATCAATTTAACCGCAACTCAAATCCTCTTAAATATTAGTAGTAGTGGTCACATTCCCAGGACGCATATAGTTCTGCCCAGATCGGCCTCCAGCATCACGAAGCGCGAAAGTAGCCGCGAGATAGGTGAAACTAGCTTCAGCTATGGATTTAGAGTATCCTAAGTATGTTTCGACTCTGCAGAAGTATATTTGAGGGGCCTCGTGGAGATTGATATGGAGAGCGTTTACGCCGCACGTGTTCCCGAATACATGTAAACAGCACGTGTAAAGACACTACCAACAGAGCAAACGCGGCTTTGCAATCCATCTTCTCAGTGGCGAACGAGCCAAGTTGGAGCGCCTCAAATCAATTTTCTCCGGCGATGTCTCCATAGACTTGCCGAGACGCCGTTGTAGGCGGGTGATTTTCGCCTTAGCGCATGAGAGCGATTCAGAAGTCCCGCGCGTCTAGAGTCCAGTCCCGTACTTGAACACGGCAGAGAGGATGAGCATTGCCGACGATCAGCGGCACTACTGACTTTGACAGCTTGGTAAAGGAACAAGCAACCATGGACTTGCAGGCTTCTGGAAGGCCAGAAACCGTCACCCGGCAAAGTTCCATAGGGTCTTTACCCACTGTCAGTCCAACGTTGCTTACTTGAAGCGTTGTTGACGTGCTCCGCCCTCCGTAATTGCGATCGCCTCTCGTACACGCGAGCCGCGAACAGGGAGCCAATGCGCCTATTCCGTCATAGCACGATTTTGGCAATCATACGGTCGATGGATAACCAAGAAGAGCAAATGAGAAGCCCTCGGTACTTGGACCCACTGCTTCTTTGGCTTAGCCCTTTGGCATTGCTGTCCTATCTCGTTACCCTTCTTGTTATGGTGGTACAAGTATGCATGGCTTGAAGTGCGGGTTGCCTAGTTCTGCGATGCCATAATGGAACCGGCAAAAGTACCCATTTTCTGTGTTCGTAATCGGTTGAGTGAGTTGAAGATTTATAAGAGATGAACCTTTTCTATAATTCAACAACTGATGCTGGCATATCATTCGTAGCGTCAAGCAACGTCACTGTCAACGGGCTGCATGCACGCTCTTTACAGGATATTACCTCATCCCCCGCAAAAATACGGAGCATGAGGCCAGAGATTGACGGATCTAGCATCCCTATCAACAGGGGCTCTCCTGATGGACTGAGCTTTCAGGTCAGGGAAAGGGGCCGGCTTTTGCAGCGCACCGTGCATGCTGATAAGAGGCATGGATCAGCGGGATCTGGACTCGTATGTGGTATAGCAAGTCGAAGAAAGTGCGAGATACAGACGAGACTGTAAACGAGACTGTAGACAACCCTGTGTGGAGGAGTTGCTGCGAGGCACACGGGCAGCCGCCTGCAGTTTGGACTCGCAAAGAAAATAGTAGCAATATGCGAGCCATGAGGCGAGATTATTGAATATCCGCAATCTATAAAAAAGTCAGTGATCCCCAAAGCCATGATTTTGCAATCCCACAGCGAATAAGAGAATCTCTGGAGTAAAAACACCAGCATCATGCAAAGGGGGTCAATCCCCAGCACTCTCTGCAGATGAATTACCGTACGAGTATGATCACGTCGCACAGCATACCCTCTTTTAGAGTAGCACTTGATTTTGGTCATGCCAAGGGTCAAGGGCCCATTTAGCCAATGTTCAAACTTGCCATTAACTGTCGTATTGATACGGCTAGTTGTCGCTCGCTCGGCCGCTGCTTGTTTAGTGGCGGTTATAGCCTCTTCCAAAGCCGTCTAACTTTTTTTCCTTCCGAATGCGAGTGAGCATCTACAAGTAGATAGGTTAGCTCAAGCAGAATAAAGTAGTGCAAGGATTGGCGACGAAAAGACGCGAGTAGGCAAACGCAGACCAGGGACTGACGACAGCCTGCGCCTTCGCTTGCTCGTCAATTTCCATGCCACCCCCGCCGCGTCCCTGAATTCCAAAATAAGCACGCTTCTTCCACCGGTAGCCTGCATTAGCCTCGAGAGATGGATGGCGCGGAGAACTAGGTCTGAAGTGGGAGCGGTGCCGCCTCGAGAAGAGCTGCTTGCGCCATGGCGCTTACAAGCATTCTGATGATTGCCCGTTTCGTAACCTTGTACTACTACTGCCATTGCCAGGAAGAGACCGCGACCCTATGCGGCATGGTATGACTGGTGCTGTGCGAGTATGGCCGCGATGGCGACGGTGGTGGTGGCAGCGGTGGTTGATATGTGACTGGCAATGCTGCTCCTGGCTTCCATGGCGGGTTTCACGCAGTTTCGCAGCCCGCATTAAAACCTAATGTCCCCTCCCAAAGAGCAGAATGTGACAGGTGATTTGCTGCATTATTCGTGCGCTCCCAGCGGCGTGATCATCGTGCTATCACATATTGCTGCTGCTGCGCTGTGAGTGGCAGTGGCAAGTGGAAATCCTTGGTGCGTGACACCGCGGCCACCCTACATAGGCGCTGCTGCTAGCACTGGCCTCGACTCAGCGCCCCCGCCGTCTGCCGCCCACTCAGCTTCCACCTCGCCCGTCCTGCTGCGTGCGCCATCACGACAATATTGCAGCCTCTCCACTGCACTTCAACCAGCCCCTGTCGTCCAGCCGTCGCGAGCAGCTGCTTCAGGATGGCCAGGCTACGCATTAGGCCTATTAGGCCTCGTGCCAGGTCCCCCAGATGTGTGCTAACCTCCAGAGGTGCTCAAGCGCCGCGAGCAGAATGACCAGGGCCACGGGGCTTTCCAACGAGGTGCCTGGGCGCGGATCGCAGATTGGCCAGTGCTCCTCGACTTGGCGGACAGGGGATCGCCAGGAACACAACGTGGACGGGTCGGCTATGGATTACTGTATGGATTATGGCTGCATGGAGGAGCGAGGTTGAGGGCCTCTACTGGATGGCCTGCGGTGATGCGATGGTAATAGGTCTGCGATGCCACTCCAACCAGGGAACGGGATCATCGTCTTTCTTCTCCTCTTCTTTCTCACAGGACACGGCATCCGATATTACTGCATATTCCATTTCAGGCTGTCAGCTGTCAATCCTGCAGCATATTGTTGTACCTCTGCCTTCGCTGTTTTGTGCAAAGGGACTTTACATCTCCATCACTGCCTCTCGCTCTTCGTCTCTTGTTTGTCGAACAAGACATCCGCTTGAACAAGACTTACAGACATGGCTCCCATAGCGGTAAAAGCGCCCACCGGCGGCAAATCTACCACGACTCCGTACGGTGACAAGTCTATGAAGCGTGGCAGGAGTATAAAGAGAAGCTCTACGCAACGTCGACCACAGCAGCTTTCACCTCATTTCGCGCAGGCGATGCAAATGCAACAGAGCGAAGATGAGGATGAAGACGAAGACGAAGCTGCTACCATCTCGGATCGTCCCAGTTTGCAGCCATACCGACGTCGAGAACGCCAAAGCTACATCAATCCGCGACAGCATATGCTGCATCTGCCCGACTCAGCGCGACCTGCGACCTCCCGGAGCCATAAGCGAGACTGGAGTTACCACAGAGACCAGAGCCCAAGCCCTTCAATCTCCAAGAAGCTGCCGCCATCTGACAGCTTGGCGCAGCAGCCGCATATTGAAAGCCACTTCAGCATAGGCACTGCCTCTACGGGCATGACGAGCGAAGAGTTCGAATCGTTGCCGCCTACCATTCAGAGAAAAGTAAGTCGCCATCCCCGTCGTCTACACTCATGCCATATCTTCTTCGCATGTTCTTTTTGCCTCACCTGCTCCAAAGCGATGGGTCTTCTTCAAGTTTCTATTTTTTTCCAATACCACTTTCATTTGGCCCGCTATTGTTTTCGCCCTGCATTCAGCATAGAGATGTGTATGCACATCTGGTTTCAAGAGGCACTCGTGATATCAGCAAGGGATAAAAGCTCGCTAGTTCGTGTTGCAAGCAACAGCACAAGAACTCAAGGGACAATAATACCATCAGGGTAGAGGAACTATCAACAGCACAACGTGCTCTTCCTCAAAGCAGACTAGCTCTATGCTCTGTCTGACCCGTACGACGGGACCGGGCTTTGCGATGCTAGCTGGCGAGCTACGATATCTCTAGACACTTTTACTGAATGACGAAAAGCAAGACAAGTGTCAAGGGTTGCTACGCTTAGCCGGAGCCGTCGAAATGGAGTCTGGATTCGCGGAGATGAGCTCTCCGAGTGGGCTGAAGCAGAGCTGGACACCGGCAGCCTTTATCGCCTCTTCTGCGACGCCTTGCTTGCCGCCACTTGCCTGTCCGTCCCTCGCTGCTGTGCCAAGCAATACAATACGATGCGATGCGATGCAATGCAATGCAATGCAGTTCACCAATTCCAATGACAAGCCAGTGGCGCCGGAGCGGCTGAATCCGTCCCTGGCAGCCAACTGACACTAGTCTCGTGTCGCCTGTGACCGGCTCCATGGCGCTTGGATGCCGTCTCCAGACTACGGCCGAGAATGGAGATTGCGTGCAGGGCCAGCTCGAGCGAGCTCCGTGTTAGTGCTTGCTGTGGGAACTGAGATCCATGGATTGATCTGCCAACGCCTTCCGGCCAACACTCATTCCACAGCCTATATGGCCCGGAAGAGGCAGCTTGACATGGCAAAAGGACGGACGCCGCAGATTGTTTTGAACAAACATTGTGTAGCTCCTCCGTACCCGGCGTAGCGTACGCTGAAATTCCAAATGAGACTCTCCCTGCAGGGCGAAAGCATCTCTGCAAATTTGCGCATATCCTACCCCTTTTTCTCTCGTGGCCGATCGATGTGCGAGTGCTCCTGAGCCAACTAGCAATAGTATTGCTTCTGAATGCTTCCCCACTCGTACGCCACGCCATGGTTCTTCGTTCCTAAGTTTAAGACATGCCATCCTCGTTCGAGCTAGAATAGCCATCATTTCATCCGACTATGACACGCTTTTAGGTAGTTCACCTCACTAGCTTGCCAATAACACCCATAGCCTTCCTTTATATGCGGCTACTATATACTTGCCAGGATATCCCCTTTCTTATTGTCGACTTTGGGATTCCTTTTTCTCTTTTGGAGAAGTTGCCTTTTTCGAAGCTTTTTGACTGACATATCTCGTTCCCGTCATAGTATTTCTCGACTTTGGAAAGGCTGCGCTTTGCCCATACCGCTTGCTGTGCTGGACATTCAGATCACTCTCTGGGAGATTACCATTCTACATCATCTTTGGCAAGCGAAGAGGATATCACACTTGCCTCCGACCACCATTACCGAGTCCGACCAAACTCTGCTCGCCTACATCCGAACCAAGCCGATCACATTTACGGACGGCCAATCGACAGTGGGGACAGACAATCACGTACGTCTCATTCAAACCACAAGAGCATTATACTGGATGCTACCGACGAGGCCTTTGTCAAGAAACGTCAATCGCAGTTTCCCAAGTCAGGCAACTATCTGGACGAACTTTATCCATCACCCTATTCAACAATGAGTGGCTCTCTTGGTGACGGATTCACAAAATCCCCTGCAGTGGAGTCAGGGACAGACTCAATCACAGAAAGCTTGCGATGGCTTGAAGAGAGCGAGGACTTAGATCTTCGTCTTTGCTTAGACGACGACAATCAGCCGAGCCCAAAGCAAGGGAAGAAAAAGCGAGTTCCATTTCCTCGTCACCTATCGATCTCAAAACTTTCTTTCGGACGGCCTTCGGTTCAGTTGAGCCGCCCGGGAACTAGAGGTGGAGCTATGGCTTCTCCAGCAATGAGCGAGCAATTCGTACTATCTTCCATGCCAAGCCCTACTGGCCATTTCCGCAGGCGGTCTCGAGCCATGTCCCTAATGTCGCCAAACAAGGCTCAGATTTCTGACGATTCTACTCTTGTTGACCAAGCTCCATCCCACTACCAAGATCCTGAGGCTCGCATGAAGCTCCGCGTATACCTCGCTTCCCCTCACAAGTTTGATGAAGCTATTGAGTTTGGATTCCCTTCATATGAAGGAGGAGAGACGACTCACATTCGGTCCTTCTCACGCCAAGGCTCATCTGATAGAATGCACAATCTGAATAGCGACGATGTTGAGTCACTAATCAGCGACCCCGCGTCCCCTACCGATATGGCCTCGCCGAGGACGCCGATGAGCATGGATCACCCATCTGTCGAGCATTCACCACATATACCACATGAGGGAACCTGGCCTGCCAACTACGCCCAGGCTCCAGCGTCGTCTCGTGAGATGACGCTGCGGATGACACTTACACGGCCTGATCTTCGAGCCGACGAAGAGCAAATGTATGGCTGGCAAAAGCCATCATCGGCCAAGGCACAAGCCCATGATGGATCCGCTCAGCCAAGATCGTATGTCCGAGCTAGCACTACCAAAGACAACATTGAGAGGCAATTCGCTGCGTTTGACCAAGACAATGCCAGCGCCGATAACAGCATGGTCAAACGCTTCTGGAACCGAGTCCGCCGATCATAATAGCACGAACCACACAGCTTCGATCTTTGCTACACCATTCAAAAACAAAAACATATCTCACTCGCGAGTAATAAAGGCATTCGACAACAAGTGCCACTCACTCTCATTAATTCCGCAAGATTCTTTCTGCGCTCAAACCTCTCATTACAGCATACAGCATGCATAACTATACCCAACTGGTTCTTTTGTCTCTCATTTAGCATTTTGTTTTCATTTCCTGTCTTTTCGGTTTCTATACGGGGAAATCATGACCACGCTCATTTGTTTATCTATCTGGCATAAAAAGAAGCGCATTGTGTTCATAAATGGAGTTTCTGGAGGGTTTTTCATAGTTTGTGATGAGTGATGGGATTGATTGGTTAAAAGCTGCAAATGGCTCTTGAAGAAGGGCTGCTATAATATATTGTTATCTGATATGCCACTTTGGCAATCTATCAAACTATTTTTTTGGCTCCCGTTAATTTCGTGCTGTGAATGCCTCTTCTTCTCTTCTTCTTACTCCCAATTAATATCTCCCTTACCAACCATTCTACCAATCCCCTCAATACAGTCTATACGCCTCTCTAGACCTCACTTTGCTTTTGCTAGTTGCATAGGACGTAGTACACTATCTATATGCAAGGGATATGGATCGGCACGAGCAACACACGTGAACTCATGCACGAAATATCGCATGTGCATATACACATACACACGGCCCAGTACTAGTCATCTATGAAGCGGTGTGGCCACCCGAGACATGAAGCACACGTTGCGAGCTAATGCCCATGTTGTTATTGATCGATCTTCCGGGACGGTGTCCAATCAAATAGAGCATGTGTGTGGATGTTCAAGCAGGGAGAGAAAAAATAGGAAGCAAGGGAGGTGGAATTTTTTTTTTGTGTGAGTTTGAAGGGATGATGAGATAAGGTTGGAGTGTGGACTCTTTTTTCCTATCTCTGCTTTTGTTAGTGACGAAGTAGGTGAAATGAAATGTGCTTGTCTCACTTGCGTGGGTGGTTTTACCCTTACGTTTGATGGACGTGTGTTCGTTTCATGATCGTGAATGGGGGTCAGTCAATATGTCGCCTAGGTATCAATGCTAGATAAGAGTCTCTACTCCGTAACGTTTTCATCTTATGGCAAATGTATAGACAAGCACTAATGTCAAACCGCTCTCACATCTAGCATGTACAATATCCTAAGATTGGCAATGAACCTTCGCTAAAAAAAAAAAAAATAAAGACACATTCACGGCAGCTTGATGCCGCTGAATTAACCCAACAAATACTCCTCCTCCTGTAGATAATTTTTGATACATGCAACTCGGATAGCCACCCATTCATATACACCCACATACATCTACAAAACCACCCTCTCCAGCCCACCCACACTGTTTCTGCCTGTCTAATTCTTTTCCCCCTCTTTTGCTTCTTTAAACTATTTTCTCTTTATACCTCCTCATCGCTCTCCTCACCCAGCAGCTCACCCTCATCATCCAAAGCCGAGTAGTCGCCTCGCCCACGAGCAAAACTATCCCGTGTGGTGAACCTCCTTGTTCCTCTTGAGAACCAGCTGCGGTCATTTCCCTGGCTGTATCGCCCAAAGGAGCTGGTTGCCAAGCGGCCCAAGCTGGACAGCATCACTGGCAAGGAGACGACTACTGCTGCGACAGCTGACACGGCAATGATGGGATACTTGACCCAAGGCTGATCGCTGTCGAAAGTCGTCGAGTTCTCTCCAAGACGGATCTGGCCAAACTTGCCGTTCCAGTTGCGGTATACATACCAGCCCATTATGCCGGCGAGAGCAAAAGGAATGATGACGGCGAAGAAGATTACAACACCAGATGTGCGGTGCTTCTTCTTGAATTCGTCCTCATGGCCCTTGCAGGGATGCTCGGTTGACGTCTTATCCAGCTCATTGCCACCACTGCAGGTCGACAGAGGAACTCTACGGTAGCCCGTCGGTTCATAGTACGACGTCTCGTTAGGGTACTTGTCGCACCATTCAGCTCCGGTAATGGGCGTGAAGCCATTGACGAGCTGGCACTGCCCATGGTTATCTAATTCGAAATTGAAATCACTAAGAAGCATTGTGTCAGTTCCAAGTCGCCATCTATACATGGGTGATTCAAGAGTTATTTTTGATCTGCTTACCATTCATAATCTCGTCGGCTACAAGCACAGTCTTCGTGCTCGTAAAGACGCTGAAGACTCTGCTTATTGTAGCACTTGCGGTCCGTCTTTTTGCGCAGATACTTGGCGACGTGTCCAAATAAACAATCGTCATCCTGCAGAGGGTGCTTGGGAGACCACAGATAGTAATCCGAGTCGCCGCTTTTGGTGAATTCGCAAGCCTTGTCGGCCAAGCCAGTGAAATCAAGGTTCACGGAAAAAAGCCTGTTTCGACCGGACTTACACCAAAGCAAAAAGTTGCGGGAAGTACCAGATCTTAGGGTGGTAATGTCTAGGACCGATACGTCCGAATCGGCGAACTCCAAGTTCTTCCATGTGTTGCCCTCATCTGTCGAATAAGAGACATAGCGGGTCTTGACCGGGTTGTTGCTTGTGTACCTTTGGACGAGAACAATAATTGAACCCTGGTCTCCGTACTGCCACGACCAACTACCCTTCTTGACGTTCTTCCAAGAGATGCCGCCGTCAGTCGACATGAAGGTATCCGAGTCCTTGATGTTGCCAAGCTTAGGCCCAACATTACCAATACCAAATACAAGGCCCACAGCCGTAGCCGCTGCAAACGTCTTTCTCTTATCATCTCGCTCAGTGTAGTGGTGCAGATGTAGGGCACACGACTCGTCTCCCTTGGAGCTGCTGCACTGATAGGACTTTCCATCCACATCCTTGGCGGGGGGTGCAAGGTAGCCCCATTCGGAGCCATCATTGTGGGAAATCTTGGTCTGGAGATCCTTTGTCTTCTCATCCTTGCCGGCGTTCGAAACAACGTTGATCAAAGTGACGCCCTCGATGCCTGCAATCTTTTCAAAGTCGACATACGACTCCTCGTTGCAGTTAACATTGGCGGCGCTGAGGACATACGACGTGCCGTTGGAATTGCTCTTAATGACTGAGCCATACTCTCTGTCGGCGCCGCCCTCGGTACGGACGAACAGGTTGATGGCATGAGTGGAGCTGTCAAGTACTGTGTACTCATTCTCATGGCCTTCGTGGAAGTTGTACGGAAAGTGCGCCTTTTCAAAGTGCTTTCCGTCAAGACTAGCAAGAGCGTGCATATCTTCAGTCTCAGGATCCCTGCCAGCTACAACGATGAATTCATTCATGGTTGCAAAGTTGATCACTGGGCCATCGTAGACGAATTTATCCTCTTGGAAGAAGTCGTCGCTGGTTATGATAGCCAGCTTAGCGTCACTGTTCTCTTCTGCTCTGGCCAGGCAGATGACCTGCTTATGAGGCCGGAAGTTGTAGGCCGAGTGGCCAGTGAACTCGCATTTCTCTGCAAAGCGAAGCATCGTCTTCCAATTGTCACCGCGATCGATGGAGATTGACGCTTCTTTGAAACAGGTTTGCTCTCCTCCGATCTTGTCGCAAGTCTTACCAATCCAGATAAGCCAGTCTTTCTTGTCAGGATGGAAAGCCAAAGGAAGTCCATCTCCAAGTTCCGTTGGTGCTTTGAAGCTGTGGAAGCTCTGGCCACGATCAATAGAATAGATGACTTTGTCGCTGTCCTTGATAGTGAAGTAAACCACATCTTTGAGATAGAGATGAGGATAGATTCCGTGGATTTTCTCGCCTTCCAATATACGTTTGAAAGTCTTACCATGGTCGTGGGTTATCCAGATCTTGGACTCAATTTTTAAGCGACCATTTCCTTCATCTTCGGCAGGTCTAACAATAATAGTTTCATCATTGGAGGCACTAGCATCGCTCCTGTCAAGATAGATCTTCTGGAAATCTTGAAGCTTGGTCTCATCAAAGACAAATTGCTTGTGTGTAACCTCTCCGTTTGCCGGAGAAGACGGTGTGCCCGGTACGCCCGGTACGGTAATATCGTCACACTTGCGCTCGACCGGATCATCTTTCTGGTCACCCTTGGTTCGCTTGCAGGTATTGCCGGGGATGAGCCTCCAGCCAGAAGAGCCCTTGAATGTATCGGATTTGTCTTTGCAGGTGCCTTCGGGGGCAGCAATGGGCCCAACTTTGTTGCAAACCTTGTTGTCATCGGGATCTCTTCTGAAGTTGTAATCACACTCAAAGTCTGCATCAGTACACTCGCAATCTTCGGTGCTGGCAACTGGATCTTTGAAGTCACTCTTGATGAAGCAGTCTGCTGACTTCTTCCGGCGACGGTAGGTTTGCTTGTGACCCATGATGCAGGTTGGCTTTCCATCGTCATCCACGCGCGCAAACCAATCTTCCAAGTCTTTATCCTCGCAAGTCCGCTTGTCCAGGGCTCCAAAGTCAATAGCAATCATGTGAAAGGCTTTTTCTTTTTCACCGATGAGGAGAAACTTCAAGCTGGTCGAATCCTGCGTTGTCGTGAGGAGGTCGGGTTTGATGGTAAGCTTATCGGGCAATGAGACTGATTCCCAGTGCTCTCCATGGTCCAAAGAGTAGGAGAACTCAGAAACATCGTCCTTCCTGGAATCTTTGACGGCAACAAGAATCGATCCCTGATCACCGAATTCGTACTTGTGAGGCCCTTTCAAAGCCTCTTTCCAAGTCATACCAGCATTATCCGAGACATAGAGGTTGGCATCTGCAAATTTGCCAAGAGACTTGCCCGTATTTCCGTTGCCCATAACAAGTCCCGGGGCAGGGCTAGTGAAAACTTTCCCCACGTTATCGAGTTCGGTGACTGAGTGAAGATGAATTCTATCATCGCCGGCCTTGATCGACTCAAAAGTCCTGCCGTCGTCAAAGGAAATTTGGGTAACGACCTTTTTCTCGGCGCCTTTCTTGTCTACATCGGCGCCGTTATCTACCACGTTGACGATGAAGATTCCCTGAATCCCTTGGACCTTCTCAAAGTCGACATGTCCCTTGTTGTTGCGGTTGGTGTAAGGAACGTTTTCGGTGAAGTAGGTGCCGTTAGAATTACTTGTAAACAAAACGCCCATGGGGTTTGACGGTGAAGAAGTCATGACGTCAATCTGAATGCTGTAGTTGGTACTTTCCAGAACAGTGTATGCCTCTTGGTTGATCTGGTGCGAGTGGTCATGGTTGTCGCTGGTCGGGAACATGGCGCGGTGCCACTTGAGAGTGTCGTCAGTAACGTACAAGGCCATCTCGTCACTCTGGAACGACGAGGTAGCAACAAGGATGTAGCTCTTGACGGCGGCGATGTTGGCCACGCCGCCCACTCCCTTGCTCATGTCGATGTTGGGCTCGAATTCCTGCACCTCTTTGTCGACCACAGCGAAGAAATCATCAGAGATGACCAGTCGCTGGTCCTCCACAAAGAGGGAGAAGGGATCTTTGATGATGCAGAGTACTCGCTTCTTGTCCAGCTCCGCATCGCCAGTCGTGAACTCTGGCGCCTGCTTGGCCCACCAACATCCAGCCGTAAAGGCACGGAGTAGCTCAACTGATTTGAAGCCATCTGTGGTATAAATCGCTTGCTCGTCGCAAAAGATGCCATCGCACTCCATGCCATTGAATATGACCCGCTTGGGGTCGTCTGCATGGAAAACCAAGATCTCGTGCTGAAATCGGCTGGCGACGACCGGGGTCTCGAACTTGGACCAGGTCTTGCCTTGGTCATCGGTCTTATAGTGGTGCTTACCCATGGTCAGGACAAATGCCGATTTCGATTCGAAAGGATGCGTAGTGAGTAAAAGAGCTTCGCCTTCGGGGATTGCTTCGATCTTGGCCCAATTGGCCCCGGCATCGTTGGACCGGTATATAATGCCCGCATCTACATCGTGGAAAACAACAATGTCGCTGTCTTCAAAGTAGCTAAGGCCCAGTGGCGGGTGCTCGAATTTGGTGACGGACAGCTTGGGGGCGTCCTTTGCGAGCGCCAGCACCCACAGCAGCGATAGCAGCAGGAAGTGCCATGGCGGCGCCGCGGCCCTGGCTGTGAGCCTCATCATATCGCGGGTGCGTCGGTCGGAGATGTCATGAAGAATTGGTATCGAGAGATTTCGGCGTGTAAATATAAAAGCTAGCTGATTGACGCTTTTGAAGCCTAGGATGGAGAGTTGTAGATGGGAGCAAAGGAGGCGGAAGAAGAGGAAATAGCTATACAACGGACTCGCCCTCTCCCTAATGCCCTGGTAATATCGAGATGTGTTGTTGCAGAAGGTGTTTCGGGCTGCTTGCGAGGCCTTGTTTGGGCCATTCGTCAGCTTTGTGGATGAAGGCACTGCGGGCTCATAGGCTCCAGCTGTGGCGCAGGCGCATATTTAGCTGGGGCCAAGTCGCCACATCCCTTGTCTCTGCAGTGCCGTATCCGGTGGCCACGTCAATCACTACAAGCTCGCGCTGTGGCTTTGCATGTGCTCGTTTCACAAGCTTCAGCCACACGAGTCTTTGTAGAGATGGAGTGCTCATAGCTCCAGTCTTTGGTGATGTGATAAAGCTTGTTCTGTTAATATGCGCATCAGATTATAGCCCTGGCATAAGATTTCGCGCCACCAACAAGCGACCAGCAACTATACCAACATCGGAGTATCAAAGAATGTCTCCAGAGAGCTATAGCTTTACTTGGTATCCATGGCAATTGAACCTACTGGCACTAGCTAGTCCAGGTAAATAGAGCGATAGATCTGGAAAAGCTGCTTTGCGACCTGTCGATTAGGTACCTATGGAGCTTTAGCATACTGTGCCGCGACAAGCATCAGCATCAGCAGCAAAAGCTCCAAATGCCAAGTCACACATGATCCATCTTGCAGATATGATGTAAACACGCATCAATGCTCATGGTGCATGAGGCACTGCACATGCTCCAAACACGCTGCGGCCCACTTGAGCAATCCCATGTTTTAATGGCTGTTTGCAGCGGTATTACGAGAGACGTCTTGTAGGTACGAAGCACACTTGGAGTAGGTGCCAAAGCCTCCGGCACTCAAATGTAGCAGCCGTTTTGGGCAGCTTGGAGCCACGGGCATCGCCGTCGAGTCTAATAAGAGGACGCTGGCTGTATAGAGGTTGATGCAACCGAAAATGCTTTCCAGATCGGTCCATACCACTGCGTGACATACTTGACGGCACGGGTACTTGAGCCATGGCTAGCAGGATGCGCTTGGACCTGGAAAGAAGATGAAACACGGGTGGAGCGAAGATCCATCTCCATGGATCCGCACGTTATTCCGTATTACTGCTCACTACCTATCGTGAACTTGCGAATCGACCTTTAGTCGCTGCGGTCTCGCTTTTGCTACTTTGAAGTGAGGAGTATAATAATGCAAGGAGGGGGGCATGTATGGCAGCCGAGTTCTACATTTCATATGAACCATGCTGCCCTTGGCTGAGTAGTGGTAAATGCTCAGCAATGTAGTAGGCGGCTGAGGTATAGCCACGCAGGTGAGCCACCGAGTCCTTCAGCTTGTAACAGCGTGGCTCTACTTGCACATGGCAGAGCTGGGAGCCCAAGACGGCCGCACGAGACCAATATCATGTGCTCCATCATGGACTCCAGGACATTTTCCATGGATCAGTTTCAATCTCATCTATTGCAGCTGTTGTCCCCAGGTTCAATGATGGGTCCAGATCTTAGCCATGGGTAGACGGCTAGAACCGTGGCATCCTCTGCGTAATACGAATACTTGCAGGAGTAGATGCCGGGGGCTATGAGATGGCAGAAACACGACTAGCCAACCCTGTGATGTCGCCTGAGGGCACTTTCATTTGGTCGCGTTGTTTGGATCAAGTGGTGGTACAACTAGCAGCAGTATCAGACGGAGAAAAACAGTCTCGCGACACGTGCCTCTTATAGAGCGCAAGTATCGCGAGGTACCTGCATAGTCGAGCCCCTCCATTTCTGTTTCTGGCCCTCCGCTCTGCTGCGCGTCAGTCGCGCCACGACAACGGTTCGCGAGCAGATTCACCAATGAGGAGGCGGCGCAGCGGGAGCCTGTCAGACGTGCGTACCAGTACCTGCGTGAGGCCGTTTTTGATATGCGCGGGAGCGTCTGTATATGCACATGTACGAGTACGGGGTAAAAATTGGAAAAAGTCGGTATAAGTCAGTGGCCGTATACGAAGCGCAGAGAGGACACCGCCGCTACAACTGGAGTACGTGGGATGAAATGGAATATCCCAGACCCATATCATGGTAACTTGCTCGGCAGTATCGTAAACAATAAACAAGAACCTTGAACATCTGGGGCCCAGACAGTTACGAGATTAAGATACATGATCTAGATGTATACAGACAACACGCTGGAGGCAAACATGCTCCGCCAGTTCCGCCAATCAACCCACCAACCACGCTGGCTCCAGTCTGCCAACTGCCTGCAACGGCTGCAGTAACAGCAACAGCCCTAGGCCGGCCCTGGGGAATCCTCCTCGAGGCCCCTGGTTGCCGCAAGCTCGCGGTGTGGCCAGCCGTCCTTTCATTTCATTTACTTGCTGCAGCCGTTTCTACAGGGGCCGCTGTCGGGCCTCAAGCTCACCCTAGGAGCAGCAGCACAGGCCACACTGGGGCGCGCTTCACTGGATTGAATCTCAAACCGCATTGAGCCCTCCAATTAAGGCAGGCTGCTCGGACTAAGACGACTAGAGCTCTACCTGCGCCGTGAACTGCAAGTACCGGCACCACCTGCTTGCAGTGCCAGGAGCTGCTTGTACCTGGCAGGGGAGTTTGGAGTACCTGGTCAGAAACCTGCCAGGCACTGGTGAGAAACCCCCCCGCCACAACAACCACCAGTAGCTTGTTTTGATCTGCCTCCATCTTTTTTCGTTGCCCTCCCTCTGGACATATTAACTTGTCCTCTTCCCGACCTGTCGTGTTTGCATCGACAGCTGGAGCTTCCTTTCTTTCCTTGACGGCTCATACCCATCGCTTCACTCGTTATCCCTTTCTTTCTGCGCGCTCCCAGCGTCATCTTCACTTTGTCGTCACAAGTGATCTGAACATCACCAACTCAAACCGCAGCGTTGTCCTCCGCCAAGCGCATTCTATAGACGCTTCCAGCGCATCCATCCTAAGTCGGCAGCGTCCAGCGACTCTATCGCGAACATCTCAACGTTTTCCGCCGCATCAACCTCCCTCGCGCCATGGCCGCCACTTACAAGCAGTTCCTGGCCTCGCCCAGCTCCGCGCTGTTGGCTGACAATGCTTCGCTGCACTACGTGACCACGCTCACGTCGTTTGTCGGCACCGATCAGATCGTCAAGCATCTCAGCAACCTGCAGAGGCAGGTCAAGAAGAAGAAGGAAGATGTCCTCAACGTAATTGACGGCCAGAGCATCATCGCCGTCGAGGTCGACACACACATCGAGTTCATCACCAGCGGCGGGGTTTATCTGCCTGGTCTCGACGACAACTTCCTCTCTGACCGAGAGGCTTTCCTACCGATTGTGAGTTGCCAACCCAAGCCCCAATTGTCGCATTTTAGCGAGTCGTTCTTCTTGACGAAAATATCAAAGCCTCTGGAGCCGCGGCTAACTCGACCCTTGCTTGTTTAACCGACAGATGCATATCGTGACTTTCGATGACGAGGGCAAGATTGTGCAAATCCGCCAGCAATGGGACCAGGCCTCACTGCTCAAGCAGCTCGAGATCATCGGGAAAAGCGGTCGCAACTGGCCCATCAAAGATGGCAAAGAACAGCTCAACCTCATCCAGTCTTGCATCAAGTCCACCTTTACCCCTGCGCAAGCTCAGAATGGCAACAGCACTCCAAAGGCACGGGGCAACGCTTCGACCAATGCCATGCGGGATCCTCATGCTTCTCTGCATCTCTTTGGTTCCAGGGAAGAGAGGGAAGAGACCGAATCTGCCAATGTCGTCTCTCCCTATTCCGGCCAGAAGCCCAAGCAGCGCGCCTTCACCGACATTCTGAACGACGAACCCCAGCACTGGGATGATGACGCGAAACGTCGCTCGCTACCACCCGCCAAGATTGGCGCGGGAAGGGCCCAGCCTATTCGCATTTTTGACGGACAGCAGCACAATTCCGATGACGATGACAACGAGCAAAAGGGCCCCAGGTATATCCGCGCTCACCCTGCCAAATACCAACACTTTGCCATGAATGATGGTTCTGCTGAAGAGAGTGAAGGCTCCAATGCAGCAGGCTCCGCCCGCCCAGTGGCCCCCAAGGCCAAATCTAAGCATGGCAGCACGTGGTCTTTCGATGACTTCACCACCCCTGTCAAAGCAAAGCCCGGCCGAGCGCAAGGAAGCAACCCTGATGCGCGCCGCTTTGATACAGGGGAGGAACGCGCCGCGGAGCCTGTCAAACCAATGGTTGGCAAAGCTCGACGCGATGCAGAGGCCCATTTCGAGATGCAAGATGATGGCGAACTCCCTCCCGAAGAGCGACGCATCGCCACCAAATCAAGGGGTGCTATCCGTAATGATGGTCTATACAACAACAACCTCTTTGATCGCGAGGCAGAGGAAGCCCCTGCCGGCCGCGCTCTAGGCAACATCACCAACGTCAAAGATCGCGGCAAGCACTTCGATCCCCACTTTGCCATGTCGGATGAATCTCCCGTGCCCGCTGCCCCACGCCAGCCCGTCACTGAGAGTCTCTCCAAGGTTATCAAGACGATGAACACCAGCTGGAGCCTTGCCGATGAATCGCCTGCCCCACAGAAGGAAAACAGAGCCCAGGCTGGCCAGGCGCCGCAGCCAGATACCAAGATTCACATTGCTGGCGATGGCATGGGCGGCAAGAAGGGTGCTCAGCGAGACTTCATCTTTGGAGGCGACTCCGCAGCCGAGCCACCTAAGCAGATGATCGGTCGAAGAGCAAATAACGGCACGCAAAAGAGTGCCCACTGGGATCTGTAAAGAGACCCATGCTGCTTCTATGAAAATAGAGAACTTGGCGGAGTAGTTGTATATGTGCGTGGAGGAAGAGAATGGAAAAAGTTTGCGATACCCATGGGCGCTAGTATGTATGATTTGATGCCCTGCAGT